TTTCCGATATAATTAGCAAAGTTCAAGTCTGACGTCATCTCAGACAACGATACGCACCTATATTACGTACCTATTTTAACGTTAAAAGTTATATAGACGCGTTAATTAAGTTGGAAAACCTTTTGTTGTTTTATTTTTTCCACCAACTTTAATATACTAAGTGACATATAAATCCGAACACCCAGTTTAAATGGTTTTATTTTAATAAAAGTTGGTGAATGTATTTATCTTACTGTAAATAACAAGTGAAAAAGTTTTTCAGCCGGTTTTTATACTGCTTTTTTTAATTCACTAACGCTCTAAAAATGAATATTTCAGCCGCAGTAAAGAATCAACGTTGGCGGATTTTGGTTCTTGACATCCATTACGATCGGTTACGATGTCTAGAGTACGGAGACCTGTACGATTTCGTCAACTTAGTGAGTTTGATAGGGGCCGTATAGTGGGACTTCGGGAAGCTGGACTTTCTTTTCGGGCAATTGCAGTTAGAGTGCAAAGAAGTGTAGACACTGTGGTTAGGTGTTGTCAGGCATGGCTTCGAGAAGGCCGTACGCAAAGAGCAAGGGGCACTGGACGCCGCCGTAGAACAACAGACCGTGAAGATCGCCGCCTAAGATTATTGGCCTTAAGGGACCGTTTCTCCACTACCAGGTCCATTGCAAATGAATGGTTTGCAAAACACTGAAGACCTATTGGCATGCGAAGTGTTTACCGACGAATGAGAAGTTTTGGCTTGTTTTCATACCGGCCACACTGGGTCCTCCCTTTAACTCGAGAACACCGACGTAATCGCCTTGAGTGGTGCAGACAACGGTCACTCTGGGATCAGGAATGGAACAGTATTGTCTTTAGTGACGAGTCTCGATTTTGCTTAGGCATGCACGATGGTCGTGCCAGGGTTAGAAGGCGACGTGGTGAAAGGAGGAATCCACAGTTTTTTGTTGAAAGACATGTTCATCACACTGTTGGAGTTATGGTTTGGGGTGCTATAGCTTATGGTTCCAGGTCACCTTTAATCTTCATCAGAGGTAACATGAACGCGCACCGTTATATCCACGAAGTTCTAGAACCCCATCTTTTACCCTATCTTGACACCCTGACAGATCCAACTTTCCAACAAGATAATGCCCGACCACATGTTGCAAGAGTCACAATAGACTTCTTTCAACATAATGATGTCACACTGTTACCATGGCCACCAAGATCTCCCGACTTATCCCTAATTGAGCACGTGTGGGATATGATGGGTAGGAGATTGCTCAATTTGCAACGTCCTCCTCAGACTCTAGAAGCACTTCGAGAGGGGTTGGTGGTTGCCTGGAATGAGATACCACAGGAGGACATTGACCACCTGATCAGAAGCATGCCTAGGCGCGTTGGAGAATGCGTAGCACATCAGGGTGCATCCACACATTATTAAAGGTCAAAGGGCTTTAAAGCAGTGCAATCATTTTGAAATTTTTATCATTTACTTATTATGCTCCATTAAGTACTTATACATAAATTTTATTAAAATAAAACCATTTAAACTGAATGTTGGGATTTATATGTCACTTAGTATATTATTTGTGATCATATTATTTAAATATTGTTTGTACGTTAAAAATAAATATTCCTTTAAGAATGTCCAGCGGGTGAACCAGCACACTTTGTTTTTACATTTGAAGCAAAATGATGGCTATTTATGTATCTAGGACTATAAGTAGTTGGGGCAGGCCCGTGGCGTAAAATTAGAGCCCCTGGTGCGAAGAGAGGCGGGTTCTAATATTTACCAAATAACATATTAACGCTCGCATACTCGAGATTCCTATAAAATTTTATCTATGACCGGTTACATACAATCAAAAATTCAGGGCAGCTTTTGGAAAGAATTAGAAACAAACATAAATTGACCGTACTATTGTGTCACCAGTAGTTTCGCCGTCTCCTCTAGCACCGAATAAATAAGGTAAGTTTCCATGGTCGAAATATTCTGTCACGTTAATACTTACATACTTATCGGGCTGCAAAGTAACTTTACTGCCCTAGGGCGTAAACAGATAGCTGAAAGGTGACTTCCGAAACACTAATCAAAATGTACGAATTTCAGCCCGATCGTAGATATATTTTGCTGTGCCTATAAGAGTAAGAAGAGTAGGTTTAGATACCTATCAAACACCCCCCGTATCTTGTGTTAGGATGATTCATTCATTTTTCCTTTCGTAATGTATTTTGTTTTCACACCTGTTCTATTTCAGTTTCTATGTTGTAGGTAACCGGACTTTTTTAACGCCTCTTCACTGTTTGTGCTATTGATGGTTACAAACACGGTTGTAGGTAGTGACCATCAGTGATTTTTATGAATCACACAATTGTATTCAATACCCATATTTTCAATTGAAAATTAAGAAAACAACGTCAAGGATAATAATATATAGTATCGAGGTGAAAATGATGCACCAACATATTGACCAACAGTCAAATAAATTGAAATTTTCAAATTGAAACGAACATTTGTCATCTCCCAAGCTTTGGATGGAAACCGTTATATTCGAAACGGGAACATCTGTTCCCATCTACAATCGGAATACACGTGAATACTCCAAAAAACTTTTTTAATGGCGGTACGTGTAAACATCCTAGTTAAACATAAGAAAATTCGATAATTCCAAAGCTTGGACTGTCGATCAGTCAATATTCAGGGTAAATATGGTATTTTGTACATACAAAATTCAAATTTGGAACCGTCTTCCCACGAAACAGAGAAAGGAACGCACTGACAACAGCGCCGAGATGCGTAAGGGTGGGGGCATGTATAAAAGCGTCGTCGGGCGACCGCCATTGCATTTCAGGCAAGCGAACAAAGCAGGTCGTTAGTGTTTTCTACCAATAACGTTCACTATTCACTTTTTTTAATCACAATGAGGGAAATCGTACACATCCAAGCTGGCCAGTGCGGTAATCAAATTGGAGCCAAGGTAAGCGAGTGCCATATTGTGACGTTATTCTCAATTGTTTCCTTAATTAACCTGAATTTACCACCACATCTTGTGCAGCCATCTTTAGTTGGCCGTGCCCTGGATCAATACGGAAAGCCTGTTGGACCCTTGGTTCAGTCATAAACTGGGAATACTCACCGGATTTCTATGAATTACCATTGCCCTTCAGATTTCACTTGTCATAAAATCAATTTTAATCCCATAACAAATACACCCTTTTATCTGGAAATTAAATTTACCGGTTGCCGGTTTGTATTGATCTTCCTGAAAACATCGGCTCATTGTAGTTGCATCTATCTTCTTCATTTTGAGGGTGTTAAACGTGGTTTTAAAACTATTTTTAGGTTTTAAATAGTGTGTTGAGCTATTTCTGGGGCGTTAATACACGCGACATTTTATTTTTGAACCTAAGGCACCGCTTTCGTAGTTTTGAAACTTTATCTGCGTACGTACGGCTTAAAAACACATATTACCTCATTTTATTATCGTTTTAAAAAATATTTTTTTATTGAATATCGCACAGTTCCTTTCAAATTTTTGGTAAAAAAAATAGAAATAGGTGAAAGCTCCCCGGAACTCTTGATGTGATGTTTTTAGAAACAATAGTATTTTGTAACGGTCTAAAATGACGGTTACACATGGTTTATGTTAATACATCTGTTCACTAACAAGATGCTGTTTGTGCCGATAGTTATCTAGAAGAAATGGATTGTAAAATTTTATAGTGAATGGAATTTAATGAACTAACGGGCTAGAAAATTTTGCGCATGCACTCAAGTGTACCAAATAGCGACCACTTATGCATTTCGAGTGTTGGGTGGGGCCTTATTGGCTTTTAGATCGTATAATTTTACCGCATCCTACTTATAACTCGTAACGGAAACTGTTGTAATATATTTATATGCTCAATGACAATGTTTTTAGATGCTGAAAGGTTAATATTTGATTTCTGTAGGTAACTATTTTGATTGGGCGTAATTCAATGAAAAACGTGGGACGATCAAGTAGGCTGTTAATAACAACTTTTTCTGTTCAAGGATAGCTTCATAATATAGTTACGCACATGACAACTTTAATGACAGGATTAATTTTATTGAGCAGTTTTTTACGATTCAATATCCAGCTTATAATATAACTACAGTTGTTAATATTTTTTGATTTCTAATAGTAGTAATAATTGTATAATTTTTCTATTTTTGGGGAAACTGTTCCAAATTAATTCAAATAACTTGTTTATTTTTGATCAGTCATTTTTCTAATACAAAAATAGATGCAGTTCTTCGTCCATATTTCGTTGAAGGAGAAGAACTATTCAATGGTGACTAGATCAACAAAAGAAATTGCTTTCTATGTTCAGTCATCTTTTGAGCTTTAGGTACTTTATGATTTTATTTTTCCTGATTTTTTTGTTTTAAATATGTTAACTAAAAATGATATTGGTGATTGTTCTGTAACAATCAGTCTAATTGGATGCACCATTCAATTGGATTGGACCGTGCATCCAATTGAATAATGCTTTAAGAAAAAACTCAAAAATATTTTGAAAGCGCTAATTAGACAGATTTATCAACTTAAGGTTTTTAACCAAGACTTTGTTAAACTAAAAAAGGGCCAGTTTCTATAAGTGAGGTTTTTGCTACTGAAAATAACTCAAATTGATTGAATCTATGAAAGTTTCCATTTAAATATTTTGGAATGTCTATCATTTTTCTTATTATTGTAGTAAGTACTTAAATATTTTTCCTTTTTACGCCAAATTTATAATTGAACACGCCAAGACACAAAGCATACATAAACATAAAACTACTCCACAGTGTTCACATTAAAAACAAAAGTTGTGTATTAATTTGATTCATTTTTTGTTTTTATTCTCATCAGGTGAGCAACCCTTTTATTTTTATATATGCTACATATCTTTGTGTTTTACCATAATTTTGAAGAGAAAGTTGATTGCGACCATGCTCTTGTAAAATTACTCAGTTAAATATTTGAAAACGGGGGAATTTTGGATCAAAATGAAAATGCTAAAATTGAGAACATTGTCTCTAAAAAACAATCGTGTACTAAAGAGGAAAATGTTGATAAATATTCAAAATACATATGTGCTAAAATATTCAGATGCAAAAATTTCATTATTTTTAGAGCGCTAAACCAACTTACAGATCCTCATACTTATTTTTTTTGTCAACTCTGAAGCATGGTACAACATTTGGAATTAATTAAACTCTGACCTACACCTGGAAACACCCAAAAATTATCAGGAACTCTTAAACATATAGACATATGGTGTGGATATGTTTTGCTCAAAATTCTGTAGTCATTGGACCAATTTTCAAAACTGTAAAGCTTTTCTACTCTAGGGACAGTAGTAAAATCCAATGATCATTGTTTGTTATTACTTCACTACCACTAGACCAAATAAAACGCTAGTCTTTTCGCCATTGTCAATGAAAATGTGATAACTGCTATCTTATGGTGGTGGAAAATCAACAGCATAAACGTTTTCTCTTTCTCCACCGCGCATTTGAATTTCCACAGTGTTTGTAAGATTCCATCGTCCAAATGCGTTTTACTTTCCTGCTCAGGGCGTCACCAGAAAAATTATGCTAGCTTAGTTGACAGACAAACAAAATGACACTTAATATATTAGTGGTATCCAAAAACAATATTTCTTGATACTAAATGTTGATATCTTGATAGTAACTATGTGAACATCTGAACTACTTGCATACATATTTGGTTCCTGTTTGCTTGATAGTACATCTAAAATTTAAAAAGCCACTCGTTTGTTATCTACAAAATCTAGAACAATTATGGGTGTTTCAATTTATCATGTGTTTGGAGACTACACACACTCACACACGGTGACAACCATAATTGCATATAGTATTTATTACGTCATAATAACAATTTCATCTGAAAATAGCAGTGACACACACATAGATTACATTAACATTTATTAAATTTTGTTAGCGTTGAAAGGCTATACAAACAAGATGGTTTATGAAGTAGTGGCAATATTTTTAGTGCTGTCAAAAATTACAAAAAGTTCCTATAAATCTGGGTCAGGGTGTCCACAAGAAAAATGAGTTTTTTGGAAGGAAAAAAATGGGTATTTTGGAAGTGTGTCTCTAGTAAAGTAATGAGTGGGAGGCCCTAATATAGGTACAAAATTATCGAATCGGTCTTTTCGAAATTTTATTGCTAGTGATAGCACTGATTGGGAATAAAACGTGAGTATTCAAATAAAATTTTGAGATAGGATCATTCAATTAATATAATATACAACTTCCAATGTCAAGATGTGGTAAGCTTCGTCATATTTTCATAGTGATTTTTTATAGACTTTTTAATTAACATCATTCTCCAGAAACTATATTTTAACATGTTTTGAGAGAATCAATAATATTAAAAATGCAACAAATATTATAATAAAATCAGTTGCATAAAAATACTTTTTTTCTGAATGTTCAAAACATAGTTTGAACCATGAAATTTTTTTTATTTAGCAGTTACGCTGTTTGTACTACATAAGCAAAATTTTAACTCCCTACCTTTCCAATCTGATGATACAATTTTTGCTCATGTAACACCCTCTATCTCTAAAGGCGCATTTCAGGAACGATGCCACTAGGAACAATCGAAACTGTTTTAAACATATTTTGTCCTTGAAATTATGCTACTGTTTTTTGGGTCTCCCTGTATATACGTGTGTGCGAGACGCCCACGTCACTACCTGTTTCATAGGAAACTGTTTATGGTACCGTATCGGTAGTCGTACTCCTTGTAAGGACAAGCGTGTCGTTTCTAAAAATATACGTGACGCTAAGTAGCTGTTTATGCATGGATTTATCCATATCTATCATTAAAAGGTTGTGGTGATACATTATATGCTTAGCATTGATTATCTTGAGTGTATTCTAGTTAACTCATTTAATCCCAAAATACATCTTCGAATGATTCAGTGACGTAATTCTTCCGCAACTATGAATGGCACACTGTTCCCAAGGTACATAAACCCTATTTCAGGAGTATCCATCACGTTTTGATGTCTACTGAGGTGCACAGCTGTTCAGCAAGTGACATGTTTGTATTAGTCTGTAACATTCGCAATAAGGATAAAGGCATCGAAATGAATGACTGTGTTTCGAACACGTTATAGTTGTCCACCTCTTCACAATTCAAGAATGGACATTTTTATACAAATTGATACTGTTTTTTTCAGCTCATCTAAAAGTTTGATTTTGTTACAGTTCTGGGAAATCATCTCTGACGAGCATGGCATTGACCCCACTGGCTCCTACCATGGAGACTCAGATCTCCAGCTGGAAAGAATTAATGTATACTACAATGAGGCCTCCGGTGGCAAGTTTGTACCAAGAGCCATCTTGGTCGACTTGGAGCCTGGTACCATGGACTCTGTCAGATCTGGCCCATACGGACAGCTCTTCAGGCCAGATAACTTCGTATTCGGACAGTCCGGTGCCGGAAACAACTGGGCCAAAGGTCATTACACAGAAGGCGCAGAGTTGGTAGACTCAGTATTGGATGTAGTGAGGAAAGAAGCTGAATCATGCGATTGCTTGCAAGGATTCCAATTGACACATTCCCTTGGAGGTGGTACTGGCTCTGGCATGGGCACACTCCTCATCTCAAAGATCAGAGAGGAATACCCAGACAGGATAATGAACACATACTCAGTTGTGCCATCGCCCAAAGTATCAGACACAGTTGTAGAACCATACAATGCCACCTTGTCTGTACATCAACTTGTAGAAAACACCGACGAGACTTACTGTATCGATAACGAAGCTCTCTACGACATCTGCTTCAGGACGTTGAAACTCACCACCCCAACATACGGAGATCTGAACCATTTAGTTTCGCTCACAATGTCTGGAGTCACCACCTGCCTCAGGTTCCCTGGTCAGTTGAATGCTGATCTCAGAAAACTGGCCGTCAACATGGTACCATTCCCACGTCTCCACTTCTTCATGCCCGGATTCGCACCTTTGACGTCGCGAGGCAGCCAACAATACAGAGCGCTCACGGTTCCGGAGCTCACACAACAGATGTTCGATGCCAAGAACATGATGGCTGCTTGCGATCCCAGGCACGGAAGGTACCTGACAGTAGCTGCCATCTTCAGAGGCAGGATGTCAATGAAGGAAGTCGACGAACAAATGTTGAACATTCAGAACAAAAACAGCAGCTACTTCGTAGAATGGATCCCAAACAATGTCAAGACAGCTGTATGTGATATACCACCTAGGTATGTGACCAACTGACCATTATTATAACATTTCACAATTTGCTTAAATCTGTTTTCCATGTGAAACAGGCATCCTCGTTTCTTTGAAAATTGACTTTTTTTCTATTGAATAGCCAGCTAATTCTGCATTTTTTGAATTCTTATTGTTAGGGATGAGTATAAAAACTACAACCTTAATTCTCTCAAGTTTCTAGTTTCACAATTTTCCAGTCTACCTCCAGCATTTTACTAATTTCAAAAATGATTTGTCTTATAAACAGGGTGTTTCTCATAAGAACCGACATACAGTAGGGGAAACCAAAATATTCATTGCAATATAAAAAATGGCGCACCTGAGAAGTTATAGGTGGTAAAAGTACTGTTTGAAATTTTGAAAAAAATTAACATCTCTAGCAATTAAAGATCAATTGCGGAATTCTAAAGAGATTCTGCACCCAGAAAATGTGACTAAATTTTTTAACACGTCGGCGGGCTTGAAAAATTATTTTATTTTATGTAAAATTTAATTCCAAAAGTTCTTTTATTGTTCATTCCAAAAACATTCTACAATAACCTGAATAACAAACTTACTAGTATTGAAAATTGAAATGTTGGCTATGAAATTAAATCTCAGTCTTGACAATGAGGTAGAACATTGGAACTTTAATAATATAATGGCAGAACAAGCAATTCAAACAGCGGAAATAATGCATAATTATTTGCACTGATAAGTTACAGAAATTGTTTAAAATAATCACCGTTTTTTCTCAGGCGTAAACTTACTTGTTGAAATTTTAATTTTCCTTCTGATTGTCATGTCTGACTTTTAATTCCATAGACAACCTATGAAATTTCGATAATAATTGTGAATAACTCAGCGGCGATACATGCGTTTTGTTATGAATATCACAAAAAGTAAGTTCTCAGAAAGGTGAATTTAAAAGTTTGAAGACTTCTCGACTCGTATAGGGTGGGCCTCAAGAACTGAGGGAGTACCATAGATTCCTTTTTAAAAGAAATCGAAAAAAGTTATAAATAAAAAAATATTTTGATATTCAGGGTAGCCCAGAGTGAAACCAGATCAAACATGTTTAATGGAAAATCCTTTTGATTTTTGTATCTTGAGATTCTCCTTATGATTTTAAACATTTCTATGTGTTGGCGTCCTTGCCTGAATTCAACTTTGTTGAGATATTGAGGCTAGAAATGTTTAAGTATTTTTTTAATTAAAAGCAATGAACAAAAAAATCGTTATTTAAAAGAATGTAGAACAAAAAGAACAAAATTAACGGTAACTGCTTAAAATGATTACTTAACATTTATTTCTTTCGTCTCGGGTTGCTGGATGGTAAATTGTTTCCATGTGGATCAGTAGTCGTTCATCTTTTTTTTCATGCAACGGCTGTGACATTCATATTTTTTTCCCTGCACGGCAAATCACCTAATTCATGACATTCATCTTTTTTCCCTTGTAACCTATATATATTATATATTTGTTGTTGAAATCGGCAGTTTTTCGAAAAATTAAAAAGATTAGAAAAGCTTTGGAACCAAATTGTACATAAAGGTAATAATTTTTCAAGTCTGTCGTGTTGATCACCCTTTTGTTTTATCCGTTTTTATATCTATATTACTTTTTTTCTCATTTTTATGATCCTTAAATGTACCAGCCATTAATATGCCTTACTCCCTCTTTGAGGGTTCTCTGAATATTTCTTCAAGTAGATTGACTCGGCACTTATGACGCATTGATATATAACAGATACGGACTGACAAACTGGCATAAATGAGAAACACGGACTTGAGTGATGCAGATATCTTTAAGCAACAGAAAACTTGTGAATCGAAGTTCGAATATTATCGCGAGTTTTTTACTTCTATTCTTTAGATAGACGTAGATTTTGAAATTTAATGCATCCCTTTTTGGAAGCGTAGCAAGTATAGAATCAATCTAGAACTGTGAAACCGCCCAGTCCTGTCGCATCCGTGTTAGTAGAAAAAATATTTTCTACAATGGGATTTTCCTTTTTTTTCCAGGGGACTTAAGATGGCCGCCACCTTTATCGGCAACTCCACCGCCATTCAGGAGTTGTTCAAACGCATCTCAGAACAGTTCACAGCTATGTTCAGGAGGAAAGCTTTCTTGCATTGGTACACTGGCGAAGGTATGGACGAGATGGAGTTCACAGAAGCCGAATCGAACATGAACGATCTCGTGTCAGAGTACCAACAGTACCAAGAAGCGACAGCGGATGAAGATGCAGAGTTCGATGAAGACCAAGAGGCTGAAGTTGATGAGAACTAATTTCTTTTTTAATGATCTAAACAGTCGCTTATATTTATATTTAATTCCTTTTGTATTTATGCCGTTTTTTTTGTAAATTTGTTCACATTCCCATTTGTAAATTTCAAAATACATTATTTAACTTATTTAAAGACTGAGTTTGTTGTTTTCATTTCCAGTGTTGAAGGGTTTCGTGTTTTTGCATATTTTGTTCATAAAATAGGCATTAAAACTGCAATCATCCGTAACAATTGTTTTCATTTCAACCTAATCCTCCGATTTAACGTGGTCGAAATAATTCACCATCTGCTTGGTTTCAACATAAATCTATGATTCCATACACATTAAAAAATTATAAATTTTCGAAGCATAGCTTTCCTAATCGTTGCTTTATTTTCAAGTTCAAAAATAATGAAATCTTCGCTGGAAAATGTCGGGTTTTTTTATGTGGCACCCGCAGGAATTTCCCCAGCTGGGGGCGCTCATCGGCAAGAGATAACTTGTGAAAGCGTACCTGCCCCGCAAAGATTTTTGAAAAGCAGAGGTATCAGATTTTCCCGGCAGTTAATCCTCAAAATTGTACGCAAAATCATCCTAAATATGCAAACTTTAGATCCTGCCGGATTAGCAGGAGTGGGGGGGCACGTCCGTCCTCCCTAGCCACCCCTGGGGGCGCCCTTGACAGCTGTTTGATTTTCATAGCTATCTACTGTTCCTTGTCTCTATTTTAAGAAAACAGCCTCACAATAGGAGAGCGCTGACACGGAAAGGTAAAACTAGAAATATCCCAGCCTTTCCAAAGGGTAGAAAAGACTGAAAATCAAGTAGGCCATAATATATGGCCTTAAGATATACCGGAAAAGGCTAACGTAAAAGTTAATCAGATTTGATTTTTGTTTCTCTTTTATACTAAATTGACATCCAACTGGAGTGTGTATCGAATTAGAGTAAAGAAAAAATTACAGAGTGGCTAAAATCCTATCAATTCGTCATTTCAGCAACAAAATAATTGTGTATCTGCATTTTTCAAAATGTGGGGTGGTAATTTTATCTGAAATAACAGTTCAATCAGCTTGAATACAAAAATACGTTCTTGAAAATCTCCAAGAAGTGTGACCGATTCCCCTCTGTGCGGTAACCGCCAATGAGTCATCGTTCAATGACTCAGAAGTGTAAATTCCGAATTGTAGATTTCTTCGTAGTGCTACAACACTTATTCGTATTGTGTGTTGCCTACGATTCTTTTGTTATATTACCTGTGGCCGAACTGTAGGCAACCTATAATGACATTTTCTGAATCACTGGTTATAGGCATTTAAGCTGTTAGCGTAGGCAACTAATATTACGCTTATCTGTATACTGTATTGCTTGACTTGTGTAACGTTGAATTCAAATTTCTGCCAAACCGTCAGGTCATATTACATCAGAATCAAATTCAAGCGGATAACCAAATGGAAATGGTATTTACCATTTTGGGTTGGTATTTACCAATCCGTTCAAGCGAGTGTAGTTATCAGTTTGGTTATAAGTTCCGTGAAGTCACGAATCAGCTGTTATATGTCATAGTTATCACCGCAAAATTGCGGTATTTACCTAACTCAAGAGTAGTTTTATATTTCTGGTTATTATTTGAAATGTGACAAGTTAGAATTTTGCCGGGTATTGGATATTGTTACTGTACTTCAGCTTCATTTTCGAGAAAAATGATACAGGCTGCTTTCTTTGACATGCGGAAAAATTTAGAGAATTGAAAGTTATCATAGCTACAAAGCCATGGTTCCATTTATAAAAAAAAATCTGAAAAAAACATTTCTCCCATGAATATTATGAAAGTTTTCTTATTTAAACTTTCCATATACAGTTGTAGACGAAAAAGCACCGATTATTAAGTGATAATCAGAGATTATATACGCGCTTTTCTAAAATAAACAACTTGCAACAAAACCGGGGTTAAAACCAACGCGTTCAAGCGTTCGTGTAACTGACGTCATCAACCCGTGTGTCATCTTGAACCATATTATAACCGCGGTACATAACACAGAAATTTTGGTTATTCGCTTGGATTTGATTCTTGTGTCGAAACTAGTTACGCAAGTGCGGAATTTGGAAAAGTGGATTAGAAATCCTGGGATTGGTCGATTTGAATATGATAGGATGGGAGGCCGAAGTTTTATATCGAGCTGGTCTTAGGTATTGTGGACCGTTTCGTTATATTTGTTTCTGAACTCCACGTCGGCTTATTGTCTGTTCTCTGCAGTGGGGTTTTGTAAGAAGGTTGTGCCTTGATCTTCTGTTGACGAGCACTGGTGCATGATTTGTCATCGCGTCAGCGAACCAAACTACCAAACACCTCTCCTAGGAAAGGTGGAGGGGAAATGTCTGAGCATGTCCGTAAATGCGAAATTTTGCAGGTTGTGGGAATTCCTGCTGCCACAGCGGGTTCTGGCTGAAACCTAACCCCCACAACACTGGTCTGAGTTACCCAGGGGAGACAGGAGATCAGTGCTGTAAGGTACAGGATGCGTGGTCAGAAAGAGGACCAGCAGGCCACTGGCGTGTTACGCAATTGCGAGAGTAAAACGTAAGGCTTGTCACCAGCTAGGTAATAGCGGACGCTTCAACTGCACGACCTACTGCATCGGTCTTATGTTTGAGCCCAACCTCTGAAGCGGGGTGATTGATATTCAGGAAGTTGATCTTGAGAACGATCTATTCAAAAGGTCGTTCTTTCTTTCTTTGAGTGCACCTCGTAATTTGGGAAGCTAAGATGGTTTCAGATTTTTGTCAGCATGGCGGGACGATTAGATGTTCGTGGAACAAATTTTATGAACGATGTTGTTCCCACCTCGATTACCCTCCACCCGGACATTTCGATAGTGGAGTGAGTTTACGTCCGGAATTCTCAGTACTCCAGTGATCGATCATCATTAATTTCTTTGTTGGACAATATAACCGACTGCGTAGCTTAGGCAATCATTAACACGTGTGCAATCACTAGAACGGGATATAAAAACTTGCTCCCGCTCAGTAGGGATTTATTAGTTACAAAAATGTCTATACGATTTGGTCGACAAATTCACACCTACTGAATCCTTCGAAACAAATAAGTTCAAGTCTAAGAAAATGAAATAAAATCCATTGATGAAACATAAAAAAAATCGATTAGGACTTTTGTATGTCTTCATTCTTTTTCCTTTCGTGTTAATCATGCAGTGTCTTGTATGGCCGGAAGTGTTTTAGGTACTCAGATTTCTTCACTGAAACCCCATCCCAATATGCTGTTCCCTTCCCGCTACTCTATTTGCCTGCTTGGGCGTCCGCACGAGCTTTTCTCAAGGGGGCCTGATCAGGCATCGGCAAGAGCAAGCTTTCTGTATATCATATAATTATAGTTCAGTTATAGAAAGAACATTTTTGGTGAAATTATAGCTAAAATAGTATGATATACACACTATTAACATGATCAACTCTTGACCTTACATTTGGCAGCTAAAAAATCGCATGTATCAAAAATATTATTTATGCATTTAGGGCTTAAAGTGAGCGTGGCGAGAAACTATATGATCCAAAAGCAGGCGAGAAGTGCCGCGAGCTCTATACTAAGACATCCGAAAAAACGTTAACTACGCCTGAGATTCATAAAAATTTTATCTACAACCGATTACAGGGTAAATAAATCAAAGTAGCTGTCAAAAGTGGTGATAACAATAAATTGACCGTACTATACGTAACCAGATGCCTGTTATTATTTTGTGACATCAGTTGCCTATAGCCAGGCATCGAGTCATGGTGGTCGATGAGCATATTTTAATTGAAGGTCGATTTAAAGATATTGGGCGCTAAAGTACTAGCATCGCACAAGGGCGTAAAGGAATCTGTGGGATGAGGAGTGAAATCTTACGCCCCGGTACCCTATCCACTTATAAGGTACACTTTATGGTCTGGATAATATATACTCAACTTCATTAAGCGTGATACGTCTGTATTTTTAAGCTATACCTTTCCGGATACTTCAGTTTACAAAATTCTGCGTTTATACAGGGCGATTCGTAAGACCTAAACCAAATGAAAAAGTATGCATCACGAAAAATTCAGATGAATTATAATGGGTGATTTTTTTGCTAGTATCTTTTTGGCAACACTGTTTTTGACAGATGACGCGTGAATCGTGTCTTGTGTCATTGTCAAACTTGTTCAGTTTGGTCTATAATTTAACCATTTAACCAATCGACTTACGAACGAACAACGCTTGAAAATTATTGAATTTTACTATCAAAATTCATGCTCGGTTAAGAGAGTGCATCGAGCACTGCTTCCAATTTATGGGCTATTTGGTCGGCCTACTGAGGGAGCTATTCGGAAGCTTGTGACTAAATTTCGAACCCAGTTTACATTATTGGACATTAAACCACAACACGCAGACGTAGAGTGAGGTTTGAAGAAAATATTGCTGATGTATCCGCCAGTGTTAGTGATGACCGTGAAATCTCGATTCGCCGCTGTTTGCAGCAATTGGGCCTCTGTTACTCCACTACGTGGAAAATTTTGCGACAGGATTTGGATGTAAAACCTTACAAGATACAGCTGGTGCAAGAATTGAAGCCATACGACCTCTCACAACGTTTCCCATTTGGTGAATGGGCGCTGGCAAAGTTGGAAAATCGAAAAATTGTGTTCAGCGAAGAAGCTCATTTCTGGTTGAATGGATACGTTAACAAGCAAAATTGCCGCATCTGGAGTGAAGACCAGCCAGAAGCATTGCAAGAGCTACCAATGCATCTCGAAAAAATCACTGTTTGGTGTGGATATGGGCCGGTGGCATTATCGGGTCGTACTTCTTCAAAGACGACAATGGCCGGAACGTAACTGGGAATGGCGAGCGCTACCGTGCGATGATAACAAACTTTTTTTGCCCAAAATGGAAGAGCTGGACTTGGCTGACATGTGGTTTCAACAAGACGGTGCCACACGCCACACCGCACACGAAACAATGGCCCTATTGAGAGGCGAGTTCGGTGAACAGTCTATCTCACGTTTGGGGCCCGTCAATTGGCCGCCTAGATCGAGTGATTTAACGCCGTTGGACTATTTCTTGAGGGGCCATGTTAAGGCTAATGTCTACAGGGATAAACCAGCAACGATTGACGCACTGGAAGCCAATATTAAAGCATTTATTTGTGAGATACCGGCCGATATGTTGGGGAGAGTGTGCCAAAATTGGACCTTGCGCATGGGCCATCTAAAGCGGAGCCGCGGCCAACATTGACATGAAATAATCTTTAAACATTAAATTATATCGACCGTTCTATCGACTCAAATGAAGATTTAATCGTTTTTTCAAATTTTTTTTTGAAAATCAAATCTTATACCTCTTAAAAAATCACCCGTTATAATGGTTACTAATATAGTTGTATGTAGTAGTATGATTTCAAAATCCATAGCGCCGAAAAGGAATTAGATTAAAATTTTGTAAATATAGCACTAAAAGAATAGCTAATAAATACAGACACTTACGTGCATGAGACAACACCATTAGCTTAGCGTTATGTGGACAATATCTATATCTATATTTTGTTCTTATCTAGTCTCACCGAGTGACGAGGACAACACCCGGACACACCTCCTTTTCCGTCTTCCCAGAAAACTGGAAATTTGCTCATGTCCAACCCATGCCAAAAAAGGATCTAAGATCGACCCTAACAACTACAGGCCTATAGCTCTGCTTTCTGTTATAAGTAAGGTGATAGAAGGTGCATAAATCGCGAGCTTCTGGACCATCTCGAACGTCACGGCTTGATCAGCGACAGGCAGTATGGTATTTTTCGTAACTGACGTTCTATTCTTCATTCCACAACGTCAACGCGGGTGTTCCCATTACATATCAACGACCTCTTTTCCTGTACGATCAATCCAATCCACAGCTTTCCTGCTGATAGCACTCTACATAAGGAATTCAGAATGATAAGCGGATCTCTGCCGGTGAGCCTGAAAAAAGAAGACTAGCAGCGACCTCCTCTCTGACAAGAAACCTGGAGGTTATCACTGTTTGGAGACGTAACAATCTTGTACAGTTCAACGCGTCCAAAACACAGCACTTTGTCGAACAAAACGCGTCCTATCTCTTATCCGGTTTCGATGGATGGCCGAGTTCTGCCAAAGAACCGTTCATTTCGGCTGGTGGCAGTCCAGATCACCGAGGACTTGATCTGACACGAACACATATTGTCAATAGCGGCAGCTGCTGGAAAGGTCCAGATCACACCTAGCCTCGAGTATTGCTCACATGTTTGAGGTGTTGTCGCTCCGACTACATTATCCATGCTCGATGTTGTTCGTCTGATCTATGACTTTTCTCTAACGGACCATTTCGCACCGGTGGGCCGCCAGCGATCTAACTCTCTTCTACCGCTACACCAATGGGCTTTGCTCTTCAGAGCTCTCCTTGATGCCGTCGCGCGATGTGCGTGCCAGACTTCGGCCTCCCATCCTAACCCTGTCGAACTTCGTACATGCAAAACTGACCGATACGACCGCTCCTTTGTCCATAGGGCGTCAAGATTGTGGAACAAGAGGAGGTTTTACTAGTTCTGCTAGCCTTAGGCAGTTCAAAAATCGGATTAACAAAGACTGACAGCAGCCGCGGTGCCCTGGCATTTAGGCTTTTGCCCGCGGGGTTGCCTCGGTGTAAAAAACCCTGGTTCTTAGATGTACTTTCTGCTGTATACATCCGTTGTTTTCTAAATCAGCTAGTATATCACTCCAGCAGTGGGGTAAACCGACCTGTCTCCGTACCCCAAGACACGCCACTGCTTCTCCGTTCAAGAGATGATTCGTCGATGAAAAGCGAAACCACCACGCTCGCTGCCTTGCTGCGGGCACCGTCACTAGGGATGGGCGGTTATTGATAAAAAAAACCGGTTATAGGTTAATCGGTTATTGCATCAATAATTTTAAACGGCACCGGTTAACCGAACAGAACTTCAGCGGTTATATGGTTGACCAGAAAATAACCTTTATTATAAGAGAGAGGCATTTGTGTACAAACTTACGACACAACTTCCTTGGTAAATCAATCCAAGTTGTAGAATAATAAATGTAAATGGGAGAAACGTGAAGTTATCATAAATCGTGACATAAAAAATGCGTTTTGTGACTACAGAATACCTGTTAGAGATCATCACATTTAGAGCGGGGGGGCGGGGCGTTGGAGGAAGGATAACAAAAGCAACACAGCCGTCATATTCGCTACGCCTATATTTACTGAGATTTGATTAGATAGGAAAAGAAAAACCTGCCTTTCGGTTATTGCATTTTTTAACCGATAACCGGTTAACTGTAAATTATAAAATAACCGGTTAATTAATTTAGAAAAATCAGTTATTCAATTAACCGGTTATTTTCGCCCATCACTAACCGTCACACGGTCTTCTTTCTTATCGTCTACCAGAACCAGACCGCGGGAGACAGTCATAGTAGGCCATTCCCGATACAGCAGTTGTTGAGAATAGTTCCATTCAAATCCACATCACAAATCTAGTCAGCCATGAGGGAAATCGTGCATCTGCAAGCCGGCCAGTGCGGGAACCAAGTCGGCGCCAAGGTTAGTAACGGTCTTTTTGCATAGCCGTTAAATTGAATGTTTGAATTCCCTTAACGGCTGATAACAATTATCATGCATGGTTTTGTCGGTTGTTGTCCAAGGATCGCAATGTGTAGTTGCCTAGCGTTTTTTATCACTTCTATGGCTTGATGATGAGGTCTAAAAGGTTACATTATATCAGATTTACATTATTCTAAAAAGGTCCGCATGGCGTGTTATGTGTTTTCATAGGTCTATTTTCGCCGTCAAAGTACTGCTTTTTAAAATTTCATCTCAGATTTTTTTGGTTGCCTATGGCCCAAACTCAATAGAAACCTAAAAAATGTCGAAATAACATTGTAAATGTTCTGAAATTTTTGTTATTTAAAGGCTACAAATTTCAGACTTTTCGACTCAATATAAGATTGTTTTGCCATTATTCAGAATGTTGAAAAGTTGAAAAAAAAGGAATTGACATTAAAAACAATCTAGAGCTCTCCCATTTTTCTACTGCCTCGGAAAAGTATCTTAACGTATGAGCTAATAGTTTTGGCACAAAATATTTAGCGGATTTTTTTTAATGAAGAAATTTAAATACTAACTAGGTATCATGAATTACAACTCAATACTTAACTATACTATCGAATTGTGTGGAGTGGCCCATTCTGCTCTACCAGACGCAACTTCAAATGTCTCTCATTTGGCAATTCAGATCAATTTCTCTCAGTTTTTCGAAATTTTGCTGTCATAATTGTTGTTCATCTTGAGCTTCCCAGACTCCATGATAAACCTTTCTAGACAAATCCTCTTTTGGGCAAGTTTGAAGGATTTTTGGGAGTAAAATGTATGTTATGTTGTCGAAGCCAGTTTTGGGTAACTTTTGAGTAATGGCATGATGCTAGTGCTGGCCAAAACATGAAATGATCATTAGCATGATGTTCGTGGACAAACTGAAGCAATTTGGAAAGGCACTTATTATCATAGCACTGTCTATTCAAAGCTTCACCAGTCACTTTTCCCACAAAAGGTTGGGATACACCCCTGTTAGAAATTGTGCACCAGACAAGGATTTTATCTGCAAATTTTGGGACATTTAAGCCTCTTTTGATATTTAAAACCACTGATTTGCAAAAGGGATGTGGATTTTTTGTCCTCAGAATGTTTTTTGTAAATATTTACTATACATTGAGCGTTACATTCCGAGATTCGAAGTCAGAAAGACAAACAAATGAGTGAAATTTTGTTTCATAATGAACCAAAAGAAAAAATATAAGTATCTCGTCTTTTATTTTGTCACGATTGCTGCATCGCCACTGGAAAGTAAAAAGCTTCATAGTTTTTCATATTTATTCTTGTGCTGCATTTGTCCAAAGCACTGCGATATTATTTGAGTCTATACAAAGAGACATCACTTGATAACAGAAGATATCTAACATCCTGTTACTGGTAATGGCCGGTACCGACATTTTATTGTTGAAGATAAACGTTCTAAGACTTTCCATCCACCAGATGGTATTGAAAAGAATGAAAAGAATTTTTGTTCCGATACTCCAGATTGTTTAATCTGGTACATTGGCATAACAAACAGATCGGGAACTGATCGTTAACATATGGTCGCTTGTGTTTATTCTAATGGCGGAGAAGCATGCCAAGTCCTGAAATATTAGAACAAAAACTGAAATTACTCGGCGTTAAAAAACTGTAAGGCATTGAACTAGTGATTAACGAACTCTGGAGACCTCCATTTGTCATCACAGAAACATTAATCATTACATTACTGAACTTTTTGTAGTTGCCTTGAAAATTCACATGCTTCCACAGATGTTTCATTTCATGATTCAGTTCTTATCTTTAATGCTCCAACAATGCATACGCAGAAAAACCGTTACTAATGCCAAATTGTAAATATTTGATTAATAACGAAACATATAAGCAGTTGAAAACATTAGCAAAAAGTTCGATGACCCTGGCTAAAATTAGAATATTTTTATTTCTCCAACGTGATATAATTTTGTAATAATCCAGAGGTTTTAAGGTGCAGATGCACAATGAGGTTAAACAATAATGAAGCTCCTTCATATCAAATTTTCAAATCAAAGCATGTTAAACCCTCGTTCCATCCTATTGTCGAACTATAATACGTTGAAAATTTGATATGAAATTTATTTTTAAATTTTTAGTTCGATTTATCATCATCTTTTAAAAGCTTGTTCTTAAAAATGTAGCTGTTCTTTTTTTTATTTTTTAGTTCCAGTATTTATGAATTCAAATACCTAACAAGTTTGGTAATTCCTATAAAGGGTTTTTCAGTTTATTGTTGCATAACTTTAAGATTCGATAGAACTTTTAAAATTAATGCATAAAGTCTATATAAACATGGGTCGAAAAATGCGTGGCTTCCGAAATACAGGGTGTTTAAATTTACTTTTTAAAATAGTTTTTTTAAATATTTCGAACAATATTTGATGTATAACAGTGAAAATTGGTACGATAAAACGAACCATGGGCATAATTTTACTGTAGCTGCTAGAGGGCGCTCTCTACTGTACATGTAGTGTATTAAAATGACCGAAAATTTCTTCGTAGTGCAATTTTTTGCTTTTTGAATAAAAAAAACTGATTCTTCGCAATTTTCTGCATAAAAAAGCTCTCCTGTGAGTTTTCGTTATAGTTAGCCGTTTTTGAGATATTTCGATTTTTAAGGTTCTATGCATTTTCAATTATTTATGGGAAAATATTTTTTTTTACATTTTCGATTTGGGTATTACAAGTAATTAAGATAGTCGTTTAGATTGTGTTTTTAAACACAGCGATAATTCCTAACTTCAAATAAACACAAAAAAAAACAGAATATTAATTAGATTAATTTTCCAATATTATTTTTAACAAATTAAATTAATTATTTACAACTAAAATGCTATTGGATAGTTAGGACAAACATACAAAATCTAAAGTAGTTGCTCGAAATGTAAACCCAATTGTTCAATACACAATTCACATCTACGAATGATCGAACGTGGTATAGCATTATTCAAATAAGGCCTTATTTCATCACATGCATTCCTGATTCTGTCTATTAGCATATCTCTTGTGGTTACGGGAGTCTGGTACACTTTTTCTTTTAGAAATCCCCACACAAAGAAATCTAATGGATTTAGGTCAGGGGATCGTGGAGGCCAGGCGACTGGTCCTCCACGGCCGATCCATCTTTCTGGATAATTTTCGTCCAGCCAGTTTCTAACTATTCTCGAATAATGAGCTGGACAACCATCAAGCTGCAACCAGGCCAATCTTAATCTTAAATCTAACATAACATCATCCCACATATTTGCATGTTCAGCCTTTAAAAATTCCAAGAAGGTCGCAGCATTTAACCTTGCAGGCAAAAGGTAGGGACCATATAGTCGATTACGGTAGATACCAATCCACACGTTCACACTAAATTCATGCTGAAAATTTATTTCCCGAACTGCATGCGGATTTTGATGCGACCAAATATGTTGATTATGAAAATTTACCACTCCACGTCTAGTGAAACATGACTCATCGGTCCATAAAACGTTACTTAAAAACTCCCTATTATTATCAGTTCTATCAAAATAATGTGATTCTTCGTTCTCCGTCCCCTGGCTGTAGTCCTTGCACAGGTTGCAAATGGTAAGGACGTCTATGGTCATTTCTAAGAACACGGTGAACATGGCTTGCTGAAATTCCCAAGGCTCCAGAAACTCTCCTAACACTTGTGGTCGGATCTCTATCAAACTCACGCAGAATCATACGGGTAAATCTGCGCTGACGAACATTTATGTTTTGACCCCTTTGGAGATTTCCAAAACCATTTTCAATTATTTGGCGATGCACTCTTACAAATACTGAGCGAGTTGGATGTCGTCTGTTTGGAAATCTTCGTGCGTATTCTCTGGCTGCTTCTGCTGCGTTTCCATTTACAAAGCCATACACAAAATGAATATCCGCTAACTCTTGATTGGAGAATAAAAATGGCATTTTTATAAAACTTACAAAAAAAACAGGTAAAAGAAACTAAATTTCGTGCATTCACAATTGCAAAAAAACGCTTCAGGTTTCAACAGACAACAAAACTAACTGTCAACTAATTGACGTTTAACCTTATTCTGCTTTCAATTTCAAAAATCTTTGCAGGCACAGCCTACTTCTAAAAATTATCGAGATACTGACTTTTTAACGTTATTTTATCATAAATGATTAAAAATGCATCGAACCTTAAAAATCGAAATATCTCAAAAACGGCTAACTACGTATATAACGAAAATTCACAAGAGAGCTTTTTTATGTTGAAAAGTGCGAAGAATCATTTGTTTTATTCAAAAAGTAAAAAATTACACTAAGAAAAATTTTTCGGTCATTTTAATACACTACAGGTACATTAGAGAGCGCCCTCTAGCGGCTACAGTAAAATTATGCCCATGGTTCGTTTTGTCGTACCAAAAAACCCTTGTATACCAATTTTCACTGTTATACATCAAATATTGTTCGAAATATTTAAAAAAAACTATTTTAGAAAGTAAATTTAAACACCCTGTATTTCGGAAGCCACGCATTTTTCGACCCATGTTTATATAGACTTTATGCATTAATTTTAAAAGTTCTATCGAATCTTAAAGTTATGCAACAATAAACTGAAACACCCTGTATAATTCTCATGCATTTTATTAACAGGACTGAATAACACTTTTTACTTTATATGTATTACAACATTTCGATAGATACAAATCACTTAATGAAAATATTTGGCGGCGGTCGCCATATTGGATTTAGAACGACCTCATTTTGTGCTTATTGCGTTCTTCTCATCCAGCTATTTGAGGCTTGATTGAGCATAAGAGACAAAACGTCATGTTGAAGTTCCAATTATGCCTTCTTGTAGAGGAGAAAAAGTTGCACAACTTAAGTCCTTTTTATTTTGAAATTCCGTCCCAAATAAAGCCGGGAAAAATAAAAACGATTTTGGGAGAAGAATTGCGAAACTTTAAAGTGCAATT